TGTATTGTGAAATAAACATTACTTGAATTGAATTGAATCATCATCATCATATCATCATCATCATCATCAGTAGACTTAGGTTCCGCAACAGAAGAATTATAATTTATAACATAACACGAAATTTCCATAATTAATTTGTCGTTTTCCCACTAATAATACTATTTAGTCACATACTTTACCATAACTTAATATTTTCTTTTTTGTTGCTTTGAGATAGGAAATATTTAATATTTATTTTTATTATATTTTATTTTTACGTCCTTTTCTGCAGGTGAATGTTCAAACGGTGAATATATAATTTCCGAGGGTGGTTGCTTCCGATTGACTAATAATTATTATAGTTTTACGCGTGCGGACGGTGTATGCGAATATTATTATGACGGCAATCTAGCGTCCGTCCATTCCGAGGAAGCACACAACTATCTCAAATCATATATGATGGACCGCTATGAATCTGTAGCCTGGATAGGTCTTACATATTCACAAGACACTGGTAGTTGGGGCTGGCTGGACGAAACTCCTCTGGACTATAATGCCTTTGGAAGCGATTGGTTATTAAACCTAGATGGAACAGAGGAGTGTGCAGTTATGCTTGACGAAGTTGACTATAGATGGGAGGAAAGCCACTGTTCTCGGTACAGACGAGGGTTCTGTAAACAACCAGGTTAGAAATGCAAATATAAATCAATACATGATCTATTAAATTTAACTTGAGTTGTGAATCGCTTCCATGATGACCTACAATATACATTTATACACCATGTACGTAATCAGGTCGTACACATCATTCTACTGTCATATTTTTATATATTTAGGACAGGTGACTGTCAATGTAGAATGGAATTGGTCGTAGCTAGATCCTCGAACTAAGCCAGCCACTTCAGGCGCGTCATTTTATTAAAAAATGACTCTATTACAGACCTCAGACCTCAGTGTCGGATATAACTGCCAAACACCAGAACGTCACTTACTTGAACCTTCAACTACTCTGATTTTAAAATACCTGAAAAGACGTCATTATTGAGCCACTTTCTTTCTAGATGGACATTAAGACGCTGATACGACGAAGAAAAAAATCAAAATAAGCCACAAATTTACATGAATTAGTGACTATGGCTACAATGCCACTGGTCTTGTCAATAAAGTAAAAATACTGTATACTTAGCAATATATTTTATTTATATATGTATATTATATAGGACATAATATTTTGAAAATTGATTCATCCTCTTTCGTATACCATGCAGAATGCAAAATAAAAAAGTTTAACCCTCTTATAACAATTATCGGAAGGGCTAAAACTGATTAATCTTTAATTGAATTGCACGTTTAATTAGGGACCCTGGCTTATTTGCATTAAGATGTTCGTTTGTGATGTATTTTGCTTAACTGCATTGACAAACCTTGAATTTAGTTACAGTCTGGTATAATGTTTGCCGTATTCCTACAGAACTCATACACTAATATAATTGTTAATTTATATATAGCTTTCCTGTCACCTAAAATGCATAACTGTCCGCAAAACATCAACGTCAACAGTGATGCAAACAGCAACGAAGCGCACGTGACGTGGACAGATCCGACCGCGACCAGTGACGCAGGTGGATCTGTCAGTAGTCTGGTTAGGTCTCATCAGTCGGGAGACGCATTTCCAATAGGAGTGACAACGGTAACCATCAGCGCTTCCAATGATGTAGGGACGTCTTCCTGCAGATTTTCAATTCGTGTCAGAGGTACGAAAGACAAAAACATGACAATATGTGATCGATTTTGGTCACTGTATCTAACTGGCTCGCATGTCTGCATTTTATGTGTCATAAATTATTATTTTTATGATTAATCGCAATATTACTCTGCTACAATAATTATATATCATATTATCAATTACCATAATCATTAAAAAACAAATAATGTAAAATGCTTTGAACTGCATACGCTAGTTTAGGCCTATGTTTGTTTCACATCATTCATCATTTCAGGCGGAATTGAAACTATTGGAGAGAACTTTAGAGGATTTTAAAGCTTTATTTTGATTGCAAAAAGCAGAAGAGAGAGGTAGAGAGAGAGAAAAAAAAACCCAGAATGAATTGGGCTTTTTATTTTATTCTTTTTTATGTTGTAGACAACGAGCATCCGGTATACACTAACTGCCCAAGCAATGACGTAGTGATTGACATCCCAACTGGTCAGGCTACTTACACGTATAATTCACCTAATCCAACAGCGACTGATAATGATGCCATCAGGAGTAACACCTGCACAGGTGAAGCATGCCAGGGAGATGTGCTTGCTCCTGGAACCTACCAAATGCATTACGTAGCCGATGATACTACACGATGTAATGGAAAAGGGCATTGCCGATATAATTTAATTATAAGAGGTATTATATTTATATATTATCATAACTTTTTTGAGGAAATTAATGTCAGCTTTAGCTTTTCTTACTTGTTTGCGAAGTTTTTCCATTCTTCTGCAATCTTGTTTACAAACATCACTGTTGTGTAAATCATGAATGATACCCAAACAATCGACAAGAAACTAAAAGCAGCACAAATTTGAGTGTAATGAACCAAGAGTTAATTAAAGAAAAATCAGACATGTTTCTTATGTATCACACAGATATCATCAGTGAACGAAATAAAACATAACAAAAGAACCTATACTACTTATATACTCAGATGGTAGATTGAAATGCAGGTGATTTGATGTCTCAACTCGTAAAAGTTACAACGTGGTAGATTGTTCCATTATATGTATAGGGTGATGTTGTACTGCAGCACTTGTTTGTTGAGTCATGGCTCAGTCCATTTAATATGGAGCGCCTCTTTAATTTTAAGTTGGAAACTGTTATTGGCCTGATCTAAGATTGTAAAGCTTTCCCTGTTTGGCTTAGATTTACACTTAGGATCCCAAGATTGCAGAAGAATGGAAAAACTTCGCGAACAAGTAAGAAAAGCTGAAGCTGACATTAATTTTCTCAACAATTGTAAAATCTTCAGTGTTTTCCCAACATTATCATATAAATGGTCGAATGGCTGAACGGTTAGCAGGGGAGCCGCAAGCAACCATAATATCGGCGCTGGTTCGAACGGTACGCCCGCCTATGCTTTCTGGTGGTAGAACAAGTCTTCTCGGCTAAGGACTATAAACCGTAGGCCCAGTGTATACAATGGCTCGTGTGCACTATAAAGAACCCAGACATCTTTCGAGACGAGTAGGGGGATACCCCGGTGTAATGGAACAGACAACCCCTGTGGTGGAGGACGAGAGTTGCTGATACCAGGTTACCGGGTAGCACAGACACGAAGGGACCTTTAGGGGCGAAGAAAATCATTGATCGAGTTCCTATAGTCCACATATCAAGCGCCCTGAGCATCTTACATTAGATGGATATGTGCGCTATATAAAACTACACTATTATTATTATTATTATATATATAACCATCTTGCGGTAATGCTATAATTATCAATTTAGCACTGGTAACACAAATAATAAATAATAGATAATAACACAGTGCTCAAATATATAAGAACATGATGTTATAAATCGTATCAAACATAGTTCATCAACGAAACAATATCACCATTTTATCTCTTTAATTTTAGATGTTGAACCCCCTACAATAACTTGTGGTGCAGACATTGTGCAAAACACAGACTCGGATCAAAATGACGCCATTGTCACTTGGTCTGATCCTGAGACAACCGACAACGTTGGTGTAGCAAACGTAGTGTGTACACCTGCCTCAGGTGACCAAGTGACAATCGGTGCAACAGACGTAGAATGCACGGTCTCTGATGCTGCAGGGAACACGGACACGTGCTCATTCACTGTAACTGTTGAAGGTATTTTTTGATGATTATTATTTCTTTCTCTTCTTATTCTTTTGATTTATCTACAAACAAAATATAATTTAAAGGACAATCAAGTAATTAATATAACTTGTGTAAAATAAAAACAAAATTATACAAGGAATATTTTAACAAGAAACACCAGTTTCTTAAAGAAAATCATAATGTAAAATAATACAATTTCGTAATTATAATGAGTCATAAAATATAAACCAAAAATTCATGTGAAAGGGTGGGGTGGGGGGGGGGGGGAGGGGATTGGTCAATTAGGCAGTAGCTATACGGTACCAGTTTTAAACGAACTCCTAATTCTGTTGATGGTGATGGTGTCTGTGGGGTTGCTGGCGGTGAATTGGGTACGACGATGTCAACTATGACAATAAACGTGATTTTTTTTTAAATATACTTAATGTATTACATTAATATAATTTCTCTCCGTTTAGACAATCAGCCTCCGTCTATAACATATTGTCCAGGTATCGTAATGAACTCACTCGAACCCAGCAACCCTTGGGCAGTAGCTGAGTGGCGTGAACCTGAATTCGAAGATAACTCAGACTATTTTTCAATAACCAGCAGTCACACAAGCGGCCAACAGTTTCCTCTTGGGCAGACAACAGTCGTAGTGACAGCTACAGACGCAGCCGAGAACAGTGTCACGTGCACATTTAATGTTGAGATTAATGGTATACTGTTATTTAATTCTTTGCATAATATATAGAAAGTTGAAATTTTAATTTAGATACGGTATATAATAATTATGTTAATCAAAATAGGGCCCATCAAATGTTTATGGTCTGTTTCACCGATGTTTTGTCCTATTTTGGTGTTATTTTGTATACTTATAATATTTTTAATATTCCGCCGTTTGTATATTTTTATATCATATCTGAATAAATAAATAAAAAATAATAATTCTACCTAAACTACGTTAGCATTATCTGGAACAGTTTGTTAAACATGTGTTTATTAAGAAGATTTATGTTCCCCAAATTTGTAAATTCAGTTAATAAGTATCATTCATTTTTTTTAGTAATTATTTTCACCGGCTACACTAAAACATTCATCTTTGGTTGTGCATAATATTCATCTTATGAAGTAACATGTTTTGTATACGATAACACGAACATTAATCATATAATGTTGTAATAGTGATGTAATGACACTTACATCACTATGACGTAATGACGTAATTTACTTTCAAAGACATCACACCGCCGGTGTTTACGAATTGTCCTACTACTAGCATCACAGTTAACACATCTTTTGGAGAGGCTTTCGGAGTTGCTACATGGCCTTTGTTGGCGGCAACGGATAACAGTCAAGATCCCCCCATTTTTAATGACACCATTACAGAGGGCTCGTTTGAGATTGGTAACACTCGCCTAGCATTCAGTGCAGCTGATGGCTCAGATAATACGGAACTATGCGTGTTTAGTATCACTGTTATAGGTAAGCTGTAAAACCCTAATATAGACACGATTATACATAGGTAACTATAGACTTTATAGGCCTACATATAATTATCATATGCATAATGTTTTACTTTAGTTTTTAATTATTTTTAGTTTTGTAATTTTAAGTTTCTTTTTTTTTGTCGTGTTTTTCACTTTGATTTTGTAATTTAATTTTTGTTTTTTAAGTTACTTTTAAACAGCCCTGTGAAAAACACAACTAATTTCGTTTTCAGAAAAAATAATAATAATAATTATTATTATTATTATTATTATTATTATTATTATTATTATTATCATCATTATTGCTATTATTATTATTGTTATTATTATTATTATTATTATAAATAGTATTAGTTGCAATAAAATAACAATACAATAATACATTTTATATCTTTTATTGAATAATCTTTTTTATCTTGGTTAATCTAAGAATTTGTTTCGAGCTTGATCTTGGATTGCAGTAAAAAAAATTGATAATAAAAAGAAATATAATCAAAATCTTTATCACTATAATAATTTTCGTAGCACAGCTTCTAGAATTATATAGGCCTGAAGATTATTAAAGGTATCATTTTATTCCGTAATGTATACGTTTTTATATTAGAACGGAATTGTTAACAAGTTAATAATAAACAAAATTATCGTAGGCCTATATTTAGAAATATGATTGGCAATATATTATTATAATTATTAATATCTCTTTACATATTATTTGTATAACGATGATTTTGAGCATTTCAAAGTAATCAATCATTACAGGTATTTCATCGTGTATAAAAATTCATATTGTTTTCTATTTCTTGTGTGTTTACTTGAAGACGATGAACGTCCTTTATTTACATTTTGTCCCTCTGACGTCTATATTTCGACTGAGGTCGGCTTACCGTCTGTGTCCGCAAACTGGATTGAACCAGTTGCAGAGGACAATTCCGGCCTAGCGCCAACGATTTACCAAACAAGAGCTTCTGGAGAGCGATTTTGGATAGGGACAGAGACCGTAACTTATGTAGCTACTGATTCGTCTTATAATAACAACACTTGTGTTTTCAGTGTGGTTGTTGAGGGTAAGCCAATAACAGTAGGCCTATATTATTATGTTATATACATTTATTCATTTATCTCACAGCAAATTAAGTTGACCCTGATATATCTAACAGTTACAGAGTTTCTATCCCATTGTGAAGGTAGATCTAATTTCATATATTTCTTAATTATCAATTATGGAATATGAAAATTAGGAAAATGAAATTAGATCTACAGTATGCTTATAGTAGGCCTATCTAATTTCATATTTCATAATTCTCAATTAATCAGTCTGTTATGTCTCTGTAGATGACGAACCACCTGAGATTGCGAATTGCTCTGCTAACATTGAGGAATCAGCTTGGGATACCAGTAACTTTGCAAACGTTACATGGTTACCTCCAGTTATTACTGACAATTCTGGAAGTACGCCAACCGTCATCGCCAACTTCCAGCCTGGTGAGAGTTTCATTCTTGGAGAAACGCGCGTTATTTACAATGCAACAGACGATGCGATGAACGCAAACACGTGCACATTTACAGTCACAATCGGTGGTAAGTAAATTGCGTAATGCGTTTTAGAGCGCAGTGCTTGTCATTAGATGCAGCAAAATTTAGAAACGGTTTACCTTTTATTAGATCAGTTATCATCTTGTTAGAGATACGATATTTCTCTAATTACCGGCGCGGCGCTTATTAGAGGTGCTCAACGGATCATTACGGTTATTATTAGACCTATTTATTACAAAATATTGGTTGGCGTTTACATTATGAAACAATTCCTCTGTTATTTATGACACTTACTAATAAAGTCAGGTAAATAGTATAGACCTCTTTATGGCACTAGTATATTGACCAACACTATCGATATTTACCCAATCAATACATTCTTATTTTATCTTGTATTGTGAACTTTACATATGAGAGGAAGGTTAATTGAATTGTATACAATCTGGATTCATTAATTGATTAGTCTAATAACACGATTATGCACACAATAATGTACCGTATATTATATTCTTCAATATAATGTCGAAGCTGGAATGCAGGCAACTGGAGAAACTTACGAAAAAATCAATTAAAGCAGAAGCCAATGTCAACTTTTTGACAAATTCTAAAACCTTTGGTGTTTTCTCGAAATTTATATTATATTCTGTATATAAACAATAAATTGGACACCAAATTTGTTATATTTACAAAAGATTTATTGATTTGTGTTCAGTCACAATTAATATGATATACAAGTACATATATATATGTATATATATACACATATATATACATATATATTATATACATATATATATATTATATACATATATATGTATATATATATATATATATATATATATATGTGATCTAAATTATCGTGTCACCAATTTTTCATATAGATGACTAGATAGTTGGTTTGCTACACAGCATACAGTTTCATTTTAAATAAGATACATCGTTCCTTAGCAGAAGCATTGACAACAAAAACCAATCTCAGATAAATTGGTCTGGTATGTAAGATTTAGAACAACGTACGGTACCATATAGTGTGTATTTTATCTTTCTATTCAGATATTACTCCTCCAGTGTTTGCCAATTGTCCACATGACATGATGACGTATTCAGATCCAAATGAGGCAACGACTATTGTAACTTGGGATCGTTTGAACTCAACGGACAATAGTGGTTTGATCCCAACAATCAGTGACTTGGATCTAACTTCGATAGAACTTCGAATAGGAATTCACCAAATGGTATTCAGTGCTGAAGATACATCCGGAAATATCGAAATCTGTCAATTTAACGTTACAGTTATAGGTACACAAATATTATATATTCATATATTTATATTCATATATTTATATAGCGCCTTTCTTTGCAGATACGAAGCGCTTCTGTCACCGGTCATTGGATCCACATGCTTAAGTGTTGCTGCTGTATTTAGCGCAGGAGCAAGCAACCCAACCAGGTACCCATTTATACTCCTGGGTGGAGAGAAGCAATGCAGATAAAGTGTCTTGCTCAAGGACACAAGCGAAATGCACAACGAGGGATTGAAACCCCGACCTCAAGGTTGGGAAACCAAACCTTTCACGCTGCGCCAAACCTTTTCTATATATTGAAATCAATATTTTCATTAAAGCACCATAGTTCAGTTGGCTAACTCGAGGTAAACGAACCATGTGCCATGGATATCCGTAGTTACTGGTTCATTCCATGGATGCTCTTATTGTCTTATTTCTATTCTATTGGTTAACTTGGTAGTAGAGACTCTGGAAGCGTCTTGCTTATTAGCTCCTCATGCATCGGCATTATAGTTTATTTTATGGATTGTAAGAGGCGTAAGGCCTTGTGTTCATTAATTTAGCTCTTGTGTTTTTCCTGAAAGAGTACATTAAGCAATTGTTCCTCGGAGACAGACCATCTTC